CCTTGTGCATATGTGAGAAATGAGCTTTGTTGTTTGTTACCTCAATGTGGCCTTGCCTACCTGGCCTAGAAAAAATGCCAAACAGGAGGGAGCAGAGAAAAAGAAAAGAAGATGGCACTGAGAAAGGACATGGAGCAGACTTTTTCTTTGAAGACCAGATGCTTTCACATGGGCATCTGGGAAGTCTGAAACCTACCAGGGACTCCAGTGGCACTGTGCACACCCTTGATGGGACTTTAGATGGCCTGGGGAAATCTGGGATAAATCCCCCCAAGTTGTTACTTGAACAAATGTGGAAACTGAGGCCCAAAGAGACTAAGGAGTTGGTAGTATACTTTGGCAGAGGAATCCTGCAGCAAGGCTCCCTGATGGGCTCAGAAAGCTATCAGCTTTCATCTCCATTTAATATAGAGGAATATGGAGGGCTGCAGAGGTCATGACTCTTCCATGCCATGTCCTCAGGACAGTGTCTAGGAAGGACAGGCACAGTGCCTGGTAGGATCAGTCTGTTCAGGCTCTGTACACCTGGGCAAGAATGGCTGAGGCTGCTTGGTCCCCACCTCATAACCATTTCTGTTTCCATTTTGAGACAGGGTCTCACTATGCAGCCTTAGCTAGCTTTCTTTTCTTGGTAAGGGAACCACAGTGTTACCTGGAAGTAGTCAAAAGATGACATCCCCAGCCTGTCTTCGAAGCTAAAGCTGCTTAGGACTAGTGGAGTCCTCTAGGTAAAAGGCTGTGGCCCAGTTGCATGAGGCTGGGGTGCTGCCCTCAGAGTCTGGGAACTGTTTCGAGGAACACTGGAGGCCAGCCTACAAGAGACCAGTAGAATGCTCAGTTTGTAGGAGTGCTATGACAGCACCTGGCCCACCATTAGCACCCAGAGGGACAGGTGCAGTTGTGGCACATTAACCTGGGTTATGAGGCACCTTCCAGATTCCTGGGGCTATCAAAGGACAGTGTCTCCTTCCCTGTTGAGCAGCCTTTCTCACTTCTAGCAGTAGAGAATGCATTTGGTGTTTTCATGTCTGATTTATTTTCATTTTATGATAAGATTTATAATTTGAATAAGCAAAAAGCATTACATCTCTAGGTATAGTAACCGGCCACTATTGAACAAACAGCAAACTCAACATTGCTATGAGCGTCAAACTTTGTAAGTCCCTATCGTCCTTCTGCTGTAGTCAGACAAGTTCCTAGAAAAGCTCAGAAATACTAATAACCTCAAGAAAGAGGGGGCTTGGAGGCCACAATTAAACACAGTGCCTTCGCTTGATTACCAAATACCTGAGTTGAAGGTACTGCCTCTGAACAAACTGCAAGGGGCTGGGCTGGCACATAGACCTGCCAGTGAGTATCGGGAAACCGTCACAGTGATTACATGATCTGGAGGTTAATCTCTTAAGCACCAAGTCACTACTTCACGTGAGTGAGAAGGTTACTACGTCATGAGATGCCAGCTGACCGGTCTAAAGTAATAGGAATGACCGGTCTAAGAATGTAGGAAGTATAGCCTTCCTACATTCTTCTAATTTCAGCTGAAGAACTTTCATTTTCATTTGAAATAACAATTTTCAGCTAAAAATGTCAATCTTGAGCTGTCTGTAGATTTTCATCGCCATCTTTGTCTTGAGTTTAAAAGTTAAAGGTCTAGAAGCATGTTCAATTAACTTAATCTCTGAAGGGTCTCAAGTTCACTAAAAGGCTTTTCTAAATAAAAGTGGCTTTCAGGCTGGCCATGGAGAATCCCAGCTCTGGGATCTATGAGTTCCATGCTGGCCTAGTGTACACAATGAGTTCCAGGTCATCCAGGGGTACTTAGTGATCCCCTGTCTCAGAGAAACGGGGGAAGGGAGGGAGAGAGAAGTGACTTGTAAATCAATTGCCAGTAGCTCCTCAGCTAGGGGTCGAGCCTCGAGCTGCTTCACAATCCATATTAAAATTCTAACTGGATGAGTACAGGTAACCACTGTTGCAATGAATTTATATGTGCAGCGGCCGTGTCCTGTCTACAGGACAGCATTTCACGGTACTCCTGATCTTCCGAGCTTGCTATTTTGAGACAGAGCTGAGTCCTTTTATCCCTGGCTGGCCTGGAGTATATATAGCCCAGGGTCTCCAACCCAAGAAAATCCTAATTTAGTTTCCGAATATATGTACTACCACGATCAACCTCAGGAATGTTTTCAAAATTAGCTTCATATTATACAACTCTGCAAAGTTTGTGATAACCTGATAAGTAGAGAAATTGCCAACCTGATTGAAACTGTCCAACTGCTGTTTGCTACTTCAGAATGATTACAGTCAGTTGTCTCCAACTCCATTGCCTCTGCCTACAGGTACCCCCAACTTTCTTCCCTCTAATAAACACCTCTGGCTCCAGGGAACATAAACTCAAGTGGTATTTTCAGCACATGTCAAAGCAATTTTCTTGTCTAGGTGTCAACTTCACCTCCATTTGTGCTGTATTCTTTTTTGTAGCCCTGGCTGTTCTGGAATTCACTCTTGACCAGTCTGGCCTCAAACTCAGAGAACCATCTGTCTCTGCCTCCCGAGTGCTAGGATTAAAGGTGTGTGCCACCACCTTCCCTGCATCTGTGCTCTCCGTGAGACATTGTCCTCCTGTGATTCTCAAGTATACATGTTTTTTTTTTTTTTTTTTTTGTTTGTTTTTTTTCGAGACAGGGTTTCTCTGTGTGTAGCCCTGGCTGTCCTGGAACTCACTCTGTAGACCAGGCTAGCCTCGAACTCTCGAACTCAGAGATCCTCCTGCCTCTGCCTCCCAAGTGCTGGGATTAAAGGCGTGCGCCACCACCGCCCGGCCTCAAGTATACATGTTAAAGCCTCTTCTGTTCCTACTCCTCTGCTACACTGAGTCACCCAGGTTGCCATGGTGACCACAGCTCTCAACACTGACCTGTTCCTTCATTGTCAGTCATCTAGCTCTAGAGCCATCTTAGTCATAGAGATGGGACTGTGACAGTGGCCTCCCATTTCCATGTCACAGCGTCCCAGGCACTTCAGACCACAAAGACATGTAATGTTGAAGACAAACATTACAATAGGTAATGTGCAATAGGTGAATGTGGGAAACACAATGATTTAGAAATTGGTGTGATGTCATAGACCTGGGACTTAGCTCTGATAACCCAACCAAACCTTTTAAGTATGGGTGGATATTTAAGTTTTTAACTGTAGTTGTTTTTTTTCTAGGAGGGACATGTATTTTTTTAAGTACTTCCTAGGCAGGAACCTAGGCCCCAGGGTTAAGGAGCTCACAGACTCTTGATCCCAGCACTCAGAAGGCAAAGGCAAGTGGATCTCTGAGTTTAAGGAAAGCCTGGTCTACAGAGTTAAGTTCCAGGACAGCCAAGGCTACATCGAGAAAATCTGTCTTGAAAAACAAAGTCACAACAGTCTGTCAACATGGAAGCACAGGGACATTATCTCATAGATCAACTTCAGGTGAAAGATGCAGGCTGCAGCCTCCATGTGAACAGAGGATTCTGGACAAGCCATGGACCCAGGGGAAGGTTGCAGTAGCTGCTTTCTCAGGCACTGAGCTGCCACATTGCTGATGGGGAGTTTTTAAATGAATGTTTGGCCACCAGTGTTTTAACTTGTTAGTTATTCGTGCAAGTCTATAAAACAGAAGTAAGTCCTGGTCACAGCACTGGTTTCAACATTAGTTGTGAGAACATCTTTTTTATAGATCTAATATGTAGGCCTTGCCTTCAGTTAACCAAGGGTTGACTTTTCAGCCTTTGGGACACATGAGCAATACAAGATGATTCTCAGTCAGAGACAAAAGGCCACATGAACAAGGATGTCACCATTTCTGAGATGTGTTCTTTGTTGGCACTCTGGGCTGTGGGCTCCTCACAGGCAGGCAGTGTCTCAGGATCTGCTGTTGGTACAATCCTGCCAGGCTCATCATGGGAACTGTGCTGTGAGCCTGCCTGGCCAGCATCCCTGATACCTACCCCACCTTGAGTGGGCACACTGTGTCATTCCTTAGGGGATTTCCTAGCACATGACTCCTGGGTCCCTCCTAGACAACATCATCCAATTATACCCATCAGGAGTTTTTCTTTTTAACTTGACTTTCATATGATTAGTGGGTTAAATATTCATTCAAAAGCTTCAAGAATTAAGACAATAGAGCTGGACTTGGTGGCACACACCTTAAACTTAGCACTTGGGAGGCAAAAGCAGGCAGATCTCTATGTCTTCAATGCCTAAGACAGCCAGGGCTACGTATAGAGTCAGCTTTAAAAAAAAAATGATGAAAGGAAACCCTGTCCAATATCAACACAGTTCCATAATTCTTCCAGGAGATTGATTACCAATTAGATTTAAGAAAACAAAAAACATTTACTGCTTTCTTAGGAAAATGATAACCAAGGTTGGAGGGATGGCTCAATGAGTGATGTGCTGGCTATGCATATCTGAGGACCCCTTCACACCCACATGACAGTTGTGAACAGTAGCACATTTGCACCACAGATGCAGAGACAGATCCCAGGGGCTTGCTGAACAGCCAGTCTAGCTGAAATGGTGAGCACTAGGTTCAGTGAGAGACTCTTGTCTTAAAACTAAGGTGGAGGGGAATAGAGGAAGACGATCAATCTCTGACCTTCATATGCACACACAATTTTCTACCATTATTGGAATCTAACAAAAGTACAAACTGAAAAGCTCACCAGGATCTGGAGATGTCAGGCAGTATTTTCTTAGGAGTGTGAGACTTGGTCCCTAGCATCTCAGAAGGAACGAAAGAGGGCAGGAGAGGGGTTGGGGCTTCCTAGGCTTTCTGCAGTACACATTTTTCTGAAAACAAAATCAGAGGGTATGACCTCAGTGGTGGTTATTCACTGTCTCAGTCTTGTTACTATATTTCCCCTTGGTACCTTCTTGAAGTGATTTAATAATTGTGTCATCGTCTATAGATTGGTGACTCCTTTAACCAATGTCAGGAATATGGGATTTCTAGATTGGTTTTACTAAAAGAAACACAGTGATGGATCCAGAGACTGCATTGTAATACATTTCTCAGAAATATACTAAGTTACAAAGTATGGCCACCTTTTAAGACCCAGGCCATCGATCTCACTGCTCTCTAGTTAACTGACTTTGCTTATTGGCAGGGTGAGGCCTCTACAGTCCGTGCTGACTTCCTCATAGGGCCAAGTAGCCCTAGTTTGCCCCCATCTCTACACTATCTTACTCAAATCAGCTTTACCCTTTAGCCCCACCTCTGAATCTAGACTCAGGCAAAGGCCTTATGTGGGTGATTGCTATGTTTACCGAGCCACACAGGTAACCTGGGCCCATCCCAGCCCACAGTGAGTCAGCTGAACAAGGGGCAGGCACCACCCTTCCCAGAGCAGGAACCTAACTGGGACACAGGCCACCAGCACATCTCAGGAGGCTGCAGTGGCTGGAGAAGAGTACAGAGTCTGGAGCCAGCAGGTAAGAACAGTCTATATTGGCTGGGATAAAGGAGCTAAACAGGACCCCACAACCAATTTCTTTTCCTCCCTTGTCCTGTCTTCTAGGACTTTCTAGGACTTCCTAGGTAGCCTTTTAATTTGCTTCACTCTTAGAATGAAACGAGAACAAAGCTTTCCTTTTCTGATTCAAGGCAGGGTCTGAAGGATGTATGGTTTTATGCACTTTACCTCTAGTCTGTCCTACGTCCATTGGCCAGAAGACTGAAGGCTATGACTCTCTGGTGCTCTGACTTCCCCAGTGTCTCGTTACTCAAGAAGGGCCAAAATTCTCACCAAGACCTTTGAGCTCCTCTAGGATCTGAGCCTCTCCTGTCTTCTCTGGTTTTCTTCCTCAGAGTCCTCTGAACACTGAGGGTATGCTCACCTCAGGATCTGTGCAGTAGGCCCTGTCTCCCTGGAATGTTCTTGCTCACCCAGTTCTTTAAGCTGTTACTTAAATGTCTCTCAGCTCCACGACAAGGCTCCCCTAATCCCACTGCCACCCTCCACTCTCATGCCACTTCATTTTCTTCCCACCACCTGACACAGCCCATAACGTCTTGGGGCTTTTTAACCCAGCTCTTCACTACAAAGTCCCTACATCAAAAGGTGATAATTTCATCAAAGAGTGTTCACTTCTTATTGTGGGCATTCAAAACAGTACCTGGACTTAGGAGGCGTCATAAGTGGGATGAGCAGACAGGTATTATGGAGTTGCCTATTTGCGATAGGCACTGTGCTAATGGTCTCCATGCATAACTCATTTAAATAGTCCATGCCTGGATAACTCTGTGCTGAAAGTAAGTGTTATTTTACTGTTGTTATGAAATAAATGACATAGAGCCTAGCCCACTCTTTGCTCTCACAGTCAGAGGCAGGCAGGAGGTTGAGCCTCTCTCTAAAGCCCTGGCTTTCTGTTCTGCCTCCCCTGGACCTTCACTGGGAGAACAATTTCCTGAGTCCTGTTCCCTCTGGTACAGTATAGTCCTAGAAGGAGGAGGTACATGCTTGTGGCTTAGCAACAGCCTCCCCCTTGTCGATTCACCGGATTCCTGGGCTAATTTGGCCTTACAGAAGCTATTACTCCATCACGTTAACCCACGCTTCTGTTTTCTGGAGGATAGATTAGCTGTCCACAGGAACAAGTGGGAGCCCAGAGCTCCAGCAGTGTGGGACAAAGCATTCTTATTCTTTACATTCCGATTGGGGGCTAATGGGCCCTTTTCCAGCCCTGCTGATTCCCCAGAGCCTGGCTACTAATATACTGTGAGTGTTGTTATTGCTTACAATACAAAGGAGTGTAGAAAGCTCTGGGATGGAAAGATATTGAGGGAAGTCCCTGGGAGCAAGGACTGGATGGGTTCCCTTCAGAGAGTCAACTCCCTGCAGGAACTGTCTTGTGTTGTCAGACTACTTTATGTGTACCTCACTAGGTCTGGAGTTTCCCTTCTGACACTTTCTACAGGTGGTAACTGGAAGAATGCTTATCAAGGTGCCAGGTGACATTTCTGGAGAGACGTATACAAACATCTAGTCACCTCAAAGAACCAACAACAGACCAACTAAAACAGTGGCTCTCAACCTTCCTAATGCTGTGACATTTAATACAATTCCTCATGTGGTGACCCCCACAACCGTAAATTTTGTTGCTACTTCATAACTGTAAATTTGCTACTGTTGTGAATCATAATGTAAATATCTGTTTTCTGATGGTCTTGGGTGATCTCTGTGAAAGGATCCTTCAATCCCAAAGGGTTTGCAACCCACAGGTTGAGAACTGCTGAACTAAAATAGTCCGTGTCCACTGTGGTAAAGCAAGGAGTTTAGTAGGGTTAAAGGAGCCTAGGTGAGTCAGGCAGTTCACCCCAGCATTGGTGATGACTGCAAATAGCTCTCCAGAAGAACCTTCTCTCCCCTCGCAATTGTTCACTGCTTATATAACCCTGGGGAGGGCTTTGTGAATCAGCTTTCTGAGCTCAGAGTCTTTTGTGCTCCTTTAGGCTCCCGACTCTCATAGGCCTCCCACTCCCTCCTAGGAGGACTGTTGTTTGAATTGAGAGGAAATAGCTACCTACACACTAAGTTTTCAGGATTCTCTTCCCTGTGTCTGCTTTTCTTCTGTTACTTTACGGAGACACAGGGCTTGGCATTTCACACTGGCTAGTGAGGATGACAGGCAAACCAACACGGCATGGCGGAATTTCAATCTAGGAAATGCAGGCCTGGCTCAGAGTAGGCACTTCCTAAATATGTGTAGCATGAATAAGGACTAGCAAATACGAAGTTCCTTGGGGTTCGTGTGGGTGTAGGGTTTAGGGGCAGGCTTAGAACTGAACAATTCACGTGAACTGTGGATGGCATTAAAAGCAGAGGGAACAGCACTGCCAAGGCGTGCAGGCATGGATTAGCAGGCTGAGTTTTAGAATCAGCAAGCTACTTGAAATGAAGGGACTGCAGTGACTAAATGGGGGTGAGGATAGAGACATGTCCACCAGGGGTCAGTCATGAAATGTTTAAAGTCATGTTCAAGTCCGACATTAATTCTGATGTAAAGAGCTGGATATGGTTTCACCAACAGGTAAAGGCAAGATCTGAGGGTAACTCCCAGATTTCTGGTTTAATTCGTAGGTGTATTTGGTGGGGCTGCAGTCAAGATTTGGGAAAACTTCAAGGTAATCTCCTGAAGGTAATATAAACAAACAAACAAACAAACAAAACAAAAACCAGGTGGAATGTATGCCTTCGCCTCCCTATCCAGGAATAGCACACTCTACTCTGGCTTAAACGTTCCATCCTTCATGGCCACAGGCCGGTCTTGGAGGTTTCCTTGATTTTCACGCTTTTCCCCTGCATCCTAAGGAGTTCATTGTCTGAGTCCTTTATAAAGGATGAGTGGTCTAATCCCTCAGCCAAGTCCACTTCCCTAGGCAGCAGACGCCCAATGGTTCCAGCACTGGTGGTTGGTGCGCCTGCATTTTCAACCACGGCAGGTCAAGAGTCAGCCCCATGCCGGAATCCTGAGAGCATGACACCGAAGCAATACCTAGGGGCTTGAAAGCGCTTCTAAATCAAAAGGGGATCTTTTCAGAATGAGCAGCGGGGCGGGGTGTCGACTCTGCTCTCTTCTCCCACCCATTGTTGCCTCGGTGCGGAGTAAGTCAAAGGGTCTGACGAGCTAAGACCCACAAGGGGCCCTCGGAAGAACCGCGGGCTCTAAGTCTCTTTAGGTACGCATGAGGACGGCTGCAGAGGCAGGCTGGTCTTCCGGTCGCATATTCCACTGCATTGCTGGCCTCTTTGGAAAACCTAACGCTGGGCGCAGGAACACTCTGCAACTCCCGGGGAAAAGGTTGTCAAGGTGACTCCGCAGCCGCCGTGGGGCATCCTGGGAACACACGCCCCACCCTGAACCGCACGCAAGTAGGCTTGGTGCACATGCGTCGTAAGCACCACACGCCGCTAAGTAGGATTTCTGCGCAGGCGTTATAGACCACAAGCGGAGACGCAGCTTCCGGTTACGTTCTGAGCCCCAGGATGGGGGAGTGTGTGGGCAGTTTGGGGGTGGGGGGGATCCCGGAATCACGTGACGTAGGGGCGTACAGAGGATCAGCCTTGGACAGTTGAGTCTCTCCCGGGTACTCAGTGCAGAAAAAATGCGTGCTCTCGTTTTTAAAGGAAAGAAATGGGTTGGGATTCATCTTGAGTTACTGCCCAGGCAAGGATGCCTTGTAGTGAGGGGAAGGACAGCAGTTTGCTGTAAAAGAATATTCACCATTCCTTGTAAAGGCAGTGATGAAAGTATTCCTGGAAGTGGGTCTCTGAGCCTGTTTTCTCTCAGAGGGCAATTGCAAAACGCACCTGCTCCTTTGCTGCACTGTTAGAAAAAAGAATACAGGTGGCCTCCTAGGTTCATATCCGCGTAGTGCATACTGATGGCAAAGCATAATTTGGTAGATGGTAATTGCTGGGCGTTATGTCAAGGTTAAAAGTCTCCGGGAAGGTATACATTGTAGGGCAGGCCCCAGGTGAAGGGGTCTTTTCCTGTAGTTGATCTAAAAGGAGATTAGAATCATACACTTCCTGCCCCTAGGAAATTCTTGTCTTAGGGTCCTCATTCCTGCCCCCAAAGCTAGCCTAGGACAAGGAACTGTAGCGGTCTTGAAGTATCAGAACTTTGCTTTACTAAGGGAGAAGTAGAAAGGCCAAATATATTGTATTGTATTCTCCTCTATGCATGACATTTGAGGAGTTCTGCAGCCAATGAGAAGCCCCTCTTGGGCCTCCCAATTTAACAAAACAGCTAGACAAGTAGAATCAACTAGAAGATTAGTGGATTAGCAGGAGTAAAGACATAGGGCGAGCACTATAGGGTTCAAATCAGATCAGGCATCCTATGAGAAGGATCCTCTTTTAGACTTGAGGATTATTTGGCATGAGCTAGGCAAGGAGCAGAGAGTGTGACTCAGACGGTATGCTAGACAGAGGGAGCAATACTCTCCAAGACTGAGAGAACAAAAACAGTGAGATTCTTTCCTTTACCCGAAAGTATCTCTTTGTGGCAGCTGTTGAAAGTACGGGTTGGGGAAGGACACATGGAAAGATATGAAACTGGGGAATAAGGTCAAAACTACAAACAAAAGCAGGTTTGGTGGTGGTGGTGGTGGTGCATGCCTTTAATCCCAGCACTCGGGAGGCAGAGCCAGGTCGATCTCTGTGAGGCCAGAATGGTCTCCAGAGTGAGTTCCAGGACAGCCAGGCTACAAGGAGAAACTCTGTATCAAAAAAACGTAGGTAGGTAGGTAGGTAGGTAGGTAGGTAGGAAGAAAGAAAAGAAAGGAAGGAAGGAAGGAAGGAAGGAAGGAAGGAAGGAAGGAAGGAAGGAAGGAAGGAAGGAAGGGAGAAAAGAAAGAAAGAAAAAGTTTGCAAACAGAAACCTATTGGAACACAACAGCCAGGGCTATAAGGAGAAACTCTATCTTGAAAAACCAACCAATCAATAAATAAACAAAATTTGCAAACAAATTTATTGGAACTCATTTCCAATGAAAGTCGCCTTGGTGAAGGACACAATGGAGAGTGGTGGGACCATGCACACTGGAGTCTGTGGCTGTTCACCTGAATCTTCAATTGCCAAAGCTTTCTGTTCTTCAGGAATCTGTTAAATGTAGCACCTGTAATTTCGTATTTAAGTAGCAAATTGTTATGTATTCTGCAAGGTCAAATACAATTTATTTTCATCTGGCCTTCAGGTTACCAATTCCATTCCAGAGAAGATTCAGGAAGTATAAGCTAGGTTCCACAGGAGCTACTGTTGTGTGTGTTGGCTGGTTTTATGTCTACAGAAGCTACAGTCATCTGAGAGGAGGGACCCTTAACTGAGAAAATGCCTCTATAAGATCTGGCTATAGGCAAACCTGTAGAGCATTTTCTTAAATTAGTGGTTGGTGTGGAGGTCCTACCCCCATTGTTGGGGGGACCACTCCTGGGCTGATGTTCCTGAGTGCTATAAGAAAACAGGCTGAGTAAGCTACGAGAAGCAAGCCAGTAAGCAGTACTCTATGGCTTCTGCATCAGCTCCTGCCTCCAGGTTCCTGTTTGGTTTGAGTTCCTACCTTAACTTCCCTCAACAGACTATGATTCAGAATATGTAAGTCATATAAATCCTCTCCTCACCAAGTTGTCATGGTGTTTCATGACAATAATAATAAACCTAGGCCGGGCAGGGGTGGCGCACGCCTTTAATCCCAGCCCTTGGGAGGCAGAGACAGGCGGATTTCTGAGTTCGAGGCCAGCCTGGTCTACTGAGTGAGTTCCAGGGCAGCCAGGGCTACACAGAGAAACCCTGTCTCGAAAAACCAATAAAATAAAATAAAATAAAATAAAATAAAATAAAATAAAATAAAATAAAATAAA